AATATAATGATAAGACTATATCTTATAGTATATTCTTGTAGAATATTCAGTTAAAATAATCTACAAATTGTGTTTGTTTTGTTATTAATGAGTGTTTCATTACCATATAATAGTATATTAAGATTTTCATTTTTTTATGTAATGACAAAAATTTAACTTGTATCAAAAAAAATTGCTAATCTTAGAAAGTTCATTCAATCAAAAAATATTGTTATTTCGTTTGAGGAATGATATGATCTGATATTATCATAAAATATAACATTCTAACAAAATGTCATTCTAACTGAATAAATTCAGTTATTATAAAAAATAAGTTAGAATTAATATTGAATTACTTTTAAAAATCAGATTTTAAAAAGTAAGAGAATTAATTATCCCTAAATTTCCGAAAATTTCCTTGTTTAAATATAGTTAACTGTCCAAAATACCCTTATACTGAAACTTATGTGATTAAACTGATAATTTTTAATTAGTTAACAAATATAAAACCCTTACTTAATTTACCCCAAATGATTGGCACATAATCAATTTCACAGGCACACAATACTTAGTAAAACAAAATAACCTAATCCTAAACTTATGTGATTAAATTGATAATTTTTAATTAGTTAACAAATATAAAACCCTTACTTAATTTACCCCAAATGATTGGCACATAATCAATTTCACACTCACACAATACTTAGTAAAACAAAATAACATAATCTTTTATATATATATATATATATATATATATATATATATATATATATATATATATATATGAAAGACGGGTCTTTTCGGGTAGGTGCTTTTTCGGTACTGTATCGTTATATATATATATATATATATATATATATATATATATATATATATATATATATATATATATATATATATATATATAGAGAGAGAGAGAGAGAGAGAGAGAGAGAGAGCTAGATTCAAATGTGGATTGACATCTATTGTGTAGACGTGTGTACAATGCTATTCTGTGATAATGACAAATAAAATATATTGTTTGATAATATGAATACGTTCAATATTATATAATTATTGTAATTGTTATGCATTTTCACCAATTAAATCGTCTATAAGGATATTATAGATTTTTTTTTAATTATTATCGTTCTGTCAGAATGTTATCAGGATGTTTATTGAGTCGTATTCTGTACCAATGAAAATAAATGAAAATTGATGCATGAAAACAAAAATGAATTAGAATTAGTAAGAATCTATTAAAATAACAATAGTTCTATGAGATTGAATGTATTCATGTTACTAAACAACATATTCTCTTAGTAATTCTCATAAAAATAGCATTATCTACATTATAATATATATATATATATATATATATGTCGGTCCTTTTTCAGTCTGGTATCATTTTAAACCGATTCGATCTTGGTCTTTTTATAACCTGTCTAAAGCCGATCTTTTTGTTCATTATGCCTATCTTTCATACTCGCCAATCTTTTTTCTATATGGTTGTTACCCGATCTTTCATATTCGAGAGTTCAATTTAAATTAGTCGATCTTTATAACTTGGTAATCACATTATTATTAGGTTAGCATGTTCATTTCGAATTTAATATGAAAATGACGGTTATACCCCCCAAAATTGTCAACAAAAACCCGAAACGAATACCTATTTCTCACATGTCTAGAAATCCAATCGAACTTCAATTTACAAAAAAGGACAAGTCCTAGTCAAGTGATGATTGAGTAAAATGCGATCAGTTTAAGTGTCACATTCTTGACAGAACAGGTGGCCGTTGGGAATAATAGCTCCCGCTTTCTTTTTCCTATTTTCTTTGCTTCATCTGATCACAGAAAGTCTTTGCTTCAAGAAACAGAAACCCCAACAGACAAATTTAAAATTCACACAATGAATGTCAATCCACATGTCCACATCTATATATGTATGTGTTTTTAGTGTGTGTATGTATTCTATTATATAAATATTTCAAAATCTAACAACCAGTAGGTAAGCCATCGATCTTCAAGCTCTATAACACACTCATCCCATCCCCAACAGAAAAGCTGTGAACTTGCTCAATCTCAGAATATAAATCTTTAACTTTTGAGGAAATTTCAAGAAACACGAGAAGTCTGAGAAGTTGAGATGAGAATTATCATCTCTGCTTGTGTTTTTCTTGTGTTATGTTCTTTCTCAGGTACGTATTACGAGTTTTCAAATTCATAAAGCTACAAGAATGTGAGTTTTTCTAACAGATTTGATCGTTTTGCAGCTGCTTTTGATCCTCTTGATCCAACTGGAAACATAACGATCAAATGGGATATAATGTCTTGGACCCCAGATGGTTACGTGGTATGAAAAATATCATCTTGATGGTTTCTTGAACATTCTTAATGTTTGCTTTAAGATTCTTGATATTTTCTAGATAATTTCATCTTTACTTTCGGCTTTATTGCTTGTATTGTTTTTTCACTTTAGTCACATATCTATTATGGACCCATGAGCATGGACCCGGTTTTTTTTTTTTTCGTATGTTAGGAGGTCATTAATGAAAACAATATATTTTCTTGATTATCACTTGAAGATTCTTGATGTTTTGACTATAGGCAACAGTAACAATGAACAATTTCCAAATGTATCGCCATATCCAGACACCAGGGTGGACCCTAGGGTGGACATGGGCTAAAAAAGAAGTGATATGGTCCATGGTTGGGGCTCAAACCACCGAACAAGGAGACTGTTCAAAGTTCAAAGCCAATGTTCCACATTGTTGCAAAAAGACCCCTACGGTTGTTGACTTGCTACCTGGAGTCCCTTACAACCAACAAATTGCAAACTGTTGCAAAGGCGGTGTTGTGGCGGCATGGGGTCAAGATCCGTCAGCTGCAGTCTCAGCCTTCCAGGTCAGCGTTGGGCTAGCCGGGACAACAAATAAAACGGTCAAAGTACCGAAGAATTTCACTCTTCTAGGTCCTGGACCAGGGTACACATGTGGACCTGCAAAAGTGGTTCCTCCAACTACTTTCTTGACTCCTGATCGAAGAAGAAAAACTCAAGCCTTAAGTAAGTGCTCTTTGTTTTGAATAGGATGTAGTCTGAGTTTGACTTTGACTTTGACTTTGACTTACGGGTGGTGTATGTTCGATGCAGTGACGTGGAATGTGACGTGTACGTATTCACAATTTTTGGCTACAAAGCACCCGAGTTGTTGTGTTTCGTTCTCATCGTTCTATAATGAAACTATCACGGCTTGTCCTACGTGTGCATGTGGTTGTGAAAATAAGAACAAATGTGTCAAGTAAGATTACCATTTCTTAAATGTAATTTACTTTGTTACATGGGACATGACTAGACAAGTCTTCTAGCTAGTGTTGTTTTACATAATCAGGATGGAGAGGACATTCATGTCTTTTGCATAGATAGGTTTCAAAAGTGAATTTGTCTTGCACCTTTTTTGGGTGGTCATTGACATCAATCTTATGTCCAATCTAATCTAATGCATGCAAAATGTTGTACACCATGTTTTTTTAATGTCCTATGTGACAAAAGAGGCTTTAGGGTTTCTATAATCTTTTGATAACCTAATGGTTTTTATGATGATTGTAGGAGTGAATCTAAGCTTCTAAGTGTTGTTGGAGTAAATACACCGAAAAAAGATAATTCACCGTTGCTTCAATGCACTCGGCATATGTGTCCCGTGAGGGTTCATTGGCACGTAAAGCAGAACTACAAAGAATATTGGCGCGCAAAGGTGGCAATAACAAACTTCAACTATAGGATGAACTACACTCAATGGACGCTTGTGATTCAACATCCTAATCTCAACAATGTTACTCAAGTTTTTAGCTTTGACTACAAGCCCCTTGTTCCATACGCGGCTATAAGTAAGTGGTGCTTCCAATATTTTTATAGATTGTTGATTGGACGAACATGTGGCATTACTTGCATCGACATGACTATGAAATGACTTTTTCTTTTCAATGTCGTGTTGGCACAAGGATAAATGTGTAATGCCACATATCCATCCAATCAACGATTCTATAACATGTGGCATTACTTGTGTATTTTTGCGTTGACGTGGCAATTAGATGGATTTTTATTCCCAAGGCCAAATCAGCACAAGGATACATGTCTAATATCACATATCCATCCAATCAACAATTTTGTAAATTTGTTGATTGCACAATCTTATGACATTGCCAGTGCATCTATTTGTGCATCTATTTGCTGACATGGAATGAAATGACTATGTTTTATTCTTTAACGCCATATTAGCACAATGATACATATACATAAGTGGATCAATTGTCCATCCAACAACAATTCTATCAAAACTTGACAAAATTGTTGATTGGACGATCATATGGGATCACTTGTGTATTTGTGTACAAATGTGGCACTTAAATGATCATTTTCTATTCTCAATGCCACATCAACACATAAGTAACATGTAATGCCACATGTGCATCCAATCATCAACTTCTTTAAACAAAACGAACAATGATGATGATGGTATCACCATTAAGAAAACACAAAGGCCAATCTACCATTTAGTTCTAAGTTGAAAATCAATGTGCTAAACGACTTTTTTGTAATTTCTCACGTGTAGATGATACGGGTATGTTCTACGGCATGAAATTCTTCAATGACTTACTAATGGAAGCCGGGCCCACAGGCAACGTACAATCCGAAGTACTACTACAAAAGGACCAAAACACATTCACATTCAGACAAGGATGGGCGTTTCCTAGAAAAGTCTACTTCAATGGTGACGAATGCATTCTACCTCCACCCGAATCATATCCATTCCTACCAAACTCCACTCCCAAAACCCTAATTGCTCCCTTAACATTATTCATTTCTTTGTTCATGTTCTTACTCTTTTAATCTCCACACAATTTATCTCCCACTTTGTTAGTACTTCAAGTTTTGTAACAACACAAGAGATTATATACAATTGTTGTTAATTCATTTCTTTTTTCATGTTCTTAGTCTTTTAATCTCCACACAATTTATCTCCCACTTAGTTTAGTACTTCAAGTTTTGTAACAACACAAGAGATTATATACAAATGTTGTTAAGATACACGATTTCACACAACAATAATTACCACCACGATAAATAAGTTAAATTACAAACCAAGAACAAAAAATCATAAGTTTTAAATTATTGTGTACTACAATTTCATATATATATTCAAACACTCTACAAAACGATGCATGGATTTTACCTACTCAAAGAGAAAGAAAAACGCTAAAAATGTGATCAAGAGACCAAATAAAGAGAAATTTACACGAGAACTTGCATTTGGGAGATACGGGTAGGCATCAGGAGGTGGCATAACACAATTATCTCCATTAAAATAAATCCTACGTGGAAAAGCCCAACCCTCTTTGAAAGTAAAAGTAGTTTTATCTTTTCTAAAAAGTAATTCGGATTGAACATTTCCCAAAGGTCCCGCTTGATTAAGAAAATCATTGTAGAATTTAACTCCCCATAGCATAGCAGTATCATCTGTAATAACACAACACACATGTTAAGCTTATAACTTATAACAAGTTATCAAAGAGATGAAGAGAATGATTTACTTACTTATAGTAGAGTAAGGAGTTAAGGGCTTGTAGTTAAAGCTGAAAATTTGAGTGAGGTTATCAAAGTTGGGGTGTTGAACAACTAAATTCCATTGTGAATAATTCATTCTGAAATTGAAATTTGTGATTGTGACTTTCACACGCCAATACTCCTTGTAGTTGAGTTTCACATGCCAATGAACACGAATTGGACACATGTGTCTTGTGCATTGAACAAGAGGTGTTAAGCTGTTCTTACCAGGTCCATTAACAACTGAAGCTAGATATGGGGAGTTTGGGCTGCAAAATAGTTGAGAATTTGAAAGAGAAATTATCAAATTTGATATGATGATGATGATATAAACATTAGAAGATTTAGCAATGATGTTGAAAAGAAAAGGAGTAAATTATACGAATGGATCATATGGTTTGGGGTAACTTGCACGTTTGGTCCCTAACTTATTAATTTAACTCTAAAGGTCCCTACAGTTTGTTTTTGTTGCACGCTTGGTCCCTGTCTTACCTAAAAAGACTATGTTGTCCTTAATTTTTTAATTTATTTAAATAAGATGGGATAGGTAAGGTAAGGTGAGGTGGAAGGGGGTTTGAGGGTGTGTTTATTTAAATAAATTAAAAAATCAAGGGCAAAATAGTATTTTTTTTAGGTAAGACAGGGACCAAGCGCGCAACAAAAACGTCTTCTGAGTTAAAAAAATAAGTTAGGGACCAAATGTGCAAATTCCCCAAACCATAGGGACCATTCGGGTAATTTACTTAAAGAAAAAAGAAGCTAATTATTTTTTGTGTTTTATGTATGAGAGAAAAGAAATGAATACTTACTTTACACAACTTCCAGGATGAGTGTCATTGTTTTGGCATCCACAAGTGCATGTTGGACATGGAACAATCGTATCATTGTAGAAGGATGAAAGAGAGACACAACAAGTAGGAGTTTTTTGAGCTAAAAATTGTGAATATGTGCATGTAACATTCCATGTCACTGCCAAAACACAAGTAATGAAATTAGAAATCTTTTAAGGGTAGAATCGTCATTTCCAACAAAAGCTAAATGCAAAAAAAAATATCATCATACTTTTGTTTCTTTCGATTACACCATTATACTTTCCATTTTTTTTTCTTATCGAGGCATTGTGGTTTAAAAATCAACCCAATTATAGCAAATATAATATCAACTTTTTTTCTTAAGAGAAAAATTGCTTTGTATCAAGATGATATTGTTATAATTGGGTAGATTTCTAAAGTAGAATGCATTATTAGCCAATATGAAGAAATGGGAGTATAGAATTAAAAATCTTTTAAGGGTAGAATTGTAATTTCCAACAACGACTAAATGCAGAAAAATAAAAATAATTCCACTTCCAAATTTTTTTCTTATCAAGCCATTGTACTTTGAAAAATCCACCTCATTATTGCATAATACTTCCAATCTTTTTCTAATTACTACATTATACTTTCAAAAATCTATCCAATTATAACAACAAAAATTTGCTTATATATGAATGATATAACGATACTACTATAATCGCATAGATTTTTCAAAATTAAAATGCTTTAATATGAATAAACAAAAACATGATGCTATAATAAACAAAGGGAAATCTCCGATAAAGTCCCAATATTTTGGGTCAGTTAACGGTTTAATCCCAACATTTATTATTTGAACAGAAAACTCCCAATCATCTAATTTTATACGATAATCTATCATTTTATGTTGAAAAAAAAGTTTCGTTAATTCGGGCAAAACACAAAATATTTAGGACTTTTCTGTTCAAAAAATAAAAATTGGGATTAAACCGTAAACTGACCGAAAATATTGGGACTTTATCAGAGATTTCCCATAAACAAATCAACAAAAGTACATTGCTATTTCTTTCATTTAACCTTTTTTCCAACAAAAATCAAAAGAAAACTTACTCATAGCTTGAGTCACTCGTCTTCCATCTGGAGTTACAAACTTTGAAGGTTTACCAACGACAGCGGGCCCACACGTATACCCGGGACCCGGTGCAAGCAGAGTAAAATTCTTAGGCGGTTTAACCGTCTTGTTAGTGGTCCCCGCCGCACCAACACTAAGTTGAAAAGAACTCGCGTAATTATTGGGCTCTTGGGCCCACGAATTAATAACTCCACCTTTACAACAATTTGCAATTTGTTGATTGTAAGGTGTTCCAGGTAATAAGTCAACAATTGAAGGGGTCTTTTTGCAACAATGTGGTGGTGTGGTTTTGTATCTTGAACAGTCTCCTTGTTCGGTGGCTTGACCGCCCATCATGCTCCATATCACCTCCTTTTTCGCCCATGTCCACCCTAACGTCCACCCTGGCGGTGATATGTGGCGGTATTGTTGGAAGTTGTACATTGTAACTACCGCCTATAGGAATTGTTAAACTAATTAGGAAATTTAAACAACATGAAAATTGAAAATTAAAATATGTCCATGTGAAGTGTGTATCTCACCTTGAAATTTTGTTGTTAAGAAAGAAATAGCAATGTTGTTTCTTGAATTTGTTTGTTATAGCATTATACTTTAGTTTTGTCATATTACAACATTGAAAAATCTAGCCAATTATAGCATTGTATTTTCAAGTTCTTTTTTCTTGTTGTGACATTATATTTTGAAATTTTCACCCAAATATAGTAATGGAAATTGCTTTGTATTTAGATGACAATGTTACAATTTGGTTGACTTTTCGATGTACAATGTTGTAATAAGAAAAAACAATTTGGTTGCTATTTCTTGTATTTAACCAAAACTTGATTATTGAATCATAGATTAAATCATTTGATGATACTAAAAATCTTGAACCCCCATACAATTTTTTTTATTAAGAAACATAAACTGAGGGAGAATCTGAGTTAATGATACTTACAACATAACCATCTGGAGTCCAACTAATAATGTCCCACTTGATTGTGATATTTCCATTTGGGTCAAGTGCATCATAGGCTTCTGCAAGTAAAAAAAGGAGAAGGTTTTATTTAATAATCCCGAAAAATTTTGTAATTAGTAAGTTATTCTTTGGTAAACGATTTCTATGTGATTAGAATTAGATATACAAATTAGAGTTGAGAATCTAAGCTAGAATATTATAAGAAAACTTCACTTGACCTTTACTGATCTTATTTTATATAAACCATCTTATATAGAAAAATGATCGATTACATTCTTCTTTCAGATGAAGTCAATCGTCAAGAGAAATGAGAACTGAAACCATTTCGGCGTAAATTAAATAACACCCACTTGAATTTACCAATTAGTTATCATTAATTTCATAAAACTTTGAAATTTCTCAAATCCATTAGTCAACTAAGTCAGTCAAGTGGAAAGATTAAACCTTTTTTTCTAAATTTCGCAACCCATAAACCAATTTGATCGAAGAACAACTTCCTCATTCACCGATAATCAAAATCTTGCATGTCCATTAGTTAATTTAGTTAATGAACAAAATTTCTTGATATAAAAACTCAGATCAATTCTATCAAATAAACCCTAGAAGCAAATTTGATTAAACTCGCAATTAGAAGCTTCGCGAACTCAAGTAATTCAAAAACCAAAAACAAAACAAGAAGTTCAAACCTGTGCAAGTGAAACTGAATGAAGAAAGAATGATCGCAAGAACAATGGTGGAAATCGAGAATCGCGTGAGGGATCTAAAGCAATAATCCATCACTTGATGAGGAATTTGATTGATTTGTTAGTTTCTTAGCGGGGAAAAGAAAGATTTTGTTGTGGGGGCGGTGGATGAGCTTGTAGCCCTCACAAATCCAGTGATTGAGAGGAAAAACGTGTTCGAGACTTTAAAAAGAGAGTGGGAACATTAAAAAAATAATAATAGAAAAAACATTACACGCCCTGGATAATGCTGTACAGGATGTGTGTTGTTGTTTTGAGTTCTCTGACTTTATGCTGGACATTCTTTTTGATTAATTATAAAAGTACAAAGATATATATGTTAGATCAAATGTTTCATATAACTTCATTTAAATAATGCAAGTATAAATAAGGTTAATATTATAAAATAACTTATATTTTGATTTTTTTTCATATTAAATATTAAGTATTTTTTCTGAAAAAAGACATTATAGTATGCCTAGATTTCGTATTTTATGTATTCATTACAAGTGGAGATTGTGTCGCATATGATAAAAATATGAAGACCTCTCTTAGAAACCCTAGTTTCACGAGTTCTTCTTTTCTTCTTATTCTTCATCCATGGTTTCTTCTTCTTCCATGTCTACCATCTACCATCAGGAGAAATCTTGTAACACCGTAAATTTTCAAACAAAATTTTCATTTAAAATCACATTAATCTCATTAGCACAATCACAAAAATCCCCAAAAATATCAAGTTATCAAAAACACATGTTCAAAATTGTTTATAACACAATCCAGAATCCTCCAAAACACATCTCCAACTCGTGTATGTACAATTAAGTCGATGTCTTTCTGTGATCCTGAGAAGTACCTGAAACACATAACACGGTAAGCACGAAGCTTAGTGAGTTCCCGAAAATACCACACATATCTCTTTAGCTTCTCATGGCTATGCTCAAATAAGACCATTCGGTCAATGTGTCTCAGTGAGACCCTCCAGTCCTAAGTCAGTAAGCTCAAAATAATACACAGCATAAATCGCAAAGACATAATGCAGGACATCAGAATACGCAATATAAACACATAAGACCCTCCGGTCACACAAAGATTACCACTCTAGGTAAATATAGTGAGAAGACTCACCTCGTAAGCAAGCAAGCAAATAATCTCGTACACGAATCTCGAACTAGCCTCTGTCTAACACATAGGATAATTGTCTCTAATTAACACTTAAATCACGACTCTAAATAAACTAAGTTATTTTCTCTCTTAAACTCTTGGAATGGGTAAAATACCATTTTACCTCTCCATGGTCCCCAATAATCCCTGTCTTGACCAACTCTAAAGTCAACAGAAGTTAACACTCGAGTCAACAGTCCATGTTGACCTGACACGCCGAGTTCATCTGTGTGACTCGCGAGTCCCTATTGTTCCTTCAGAATTGTCGCAAAAACCCAACTTAACTCGTCGAGTTGTCTCATTAACTCGTTGAGTTACCCATGTCCAGACTCATTGGGGAAAACCCTAGCCGACTCGCCGAGTCAGCTCGTTGACTCGGCGAGTCCATTCAGTCCATGTGATCATTCAGACATTTTAAGGCAGATCCATGACCCCAAACTCTAGATCTGGATCCCTAAGGCTCGAATATCACGTAAATATGCGAGCTTTACATCCATGCATGGCATATTAAGCTCATAATGCCAATACAAGCTCCAACAAGGGCTAGATGCACAAAAGTTTGCCTCTAGCTCAATAAAGTTCGGGTCATTGGGCTCACTAGACCACCTACAGTCCAGATCTGAGGTTTCAACCTTAAGACATGCTCAAGTGACTCAATACCATCACAATGGATGGGAGATGACCCTAAAAACACCATAACCTAAAATCTCATAAGGAAATGATCAAGTTAGCATCTCTTTACCTCCAACTAAAGCAAACTATTGAAAACCTATAGATCCAAAAGCCTCCTCTTGATCCAAGCTTGATACTCTCTTCTTCTCTTCCATTGTATCACAAAAACATTCAAATCTTAGCCCTCTTTCTCTCTTAGCTCACTATGGTCGATTAGGGTTTCACAAAGGGGAGTTGGTGGCTGGTGAGGCGGTAATGAGGGCTTAAGGCCTTTTAAATAGGACTCAGCCCTGGAGAATTAGGGTTTCCACACTCAGTTCCAGCTCGCCGAGTTGGTCGTAAAACCCACGTGGTAAATTCGTCTCTACTCGATGAGTTAGGGCACCCACTCGTCGAGTCGCTCAGTTTACTCATAAATAAATATGTAAATACTATATCTAGAATTCGAGGTGTTAGAAATCTTGTTGGTGATTTTATATCACTAATATCATTTAAGTGTAATGAGTTTAATTTGTTGATCAATGTCACTTTGACAATCATTGAACAAATTAGTATGGTGCATAGTGTACATTTGTTTAATTGTCTTTGTTGAAAGTATACTATTGTTTAGGGGCAAATACCGTAAACTGATGGGGGTCCAAGGGCAGTGCTATAACGCCCGAATCCTAGTATGTATTTTAAGCCAAAATATTCATTTTTGCAAAGGGGCTCGACGAGTTGGAGGCTCCAAACTCGTCGAGTAGAAACGGATTTTGGATGTAGGACTTGAAGTCTACTCGACAAGTTGAGAAGCCTCAACTCGGCGAGTAGGGCTGCTAGAGTGAAACCCTAATTTTCAAGGTTGGCACCCTATTTAAGCACCTTAAGACTTTATTATGGCCTCCCTCATCACCTCCCTCAGTCCAGCAAAATCGTAATTCATGATCTTGAGCCTTTTAAGTGTGTGTGAGTGAAAAAAGAGTGATTTATTGGTATTTCCTTGAACGAGTGGAAGTTTGAAATGCTTAGTTGAAGGAAGAAGTTTTGTATCCAGAGAGTTCTTTGTGAAAGTAGCCTTATTAAGGTATAAAGTCTATACCTTGGCTGTTCATTTACTGTATCTCTTCATGGAGTAGTTTAGGGCCTTAAGTAGACTATTTTGGAACCATTCATGTACGCAAGCATGTTTTGGAGTCATGGCTTCAGATCTAGAGCCTTTGAGGGACTCCATGGCATAAAGGTGCCAACTTTATGGCCATAGGAGTCCCACACAACTTGTGAACCAGTTTTTAGGGCCTTTTGAGCTAAATAACCCATTCATGAACGTAAAGTTAGTAACTTTACGTGGTATATCGACCCTAGGGAACTAGATCTGTGGTTTGGAAGCATGGAAACCGACTGGAAACAACTGTATGGTTTTAGACTATAGGGGGACTCGACGAGTTGTTCATACAACTCGGCGAGTTGGTTTGTGGTTCCCCAACCTTTTCTGGTATTAGCCAAACTCGTTGAGTCTAGGAGATGACTCAGTGAGTTGGACATGTTTTCTAGTTTGAAGATTGAAGAACTCGATGAGTTCAAGCAGGAACTCGACGAGTTGTGAGCGAAATGTCTCGACTCTGTATGAAGGGGAACTCTACGAGTTCATGAAAGAAATCGACGAGTAGGGTCGAGATTTCAGGGTTTTATGGATCATCGAACTCGATGAGTTGATGGACCAACTCGGCGAGTTGAGTCAACCGGGATGTTGACTTTGACTTTGACCATTGACCAGAGTTGAACCCTCAAAGGGGTTATGAGTATGAAAGAGTAATTAAAGGATATTGTTATGTGTAGAAGTGGGTCGAAGGCACCAATATTGGCCCACTAGTAGGTTGATTATACTAGAGATGATTGTCTTTGTGATAATTTTCTTGTATGCCACTATCTGTTATGCTATTTGTGCTAGTATGCTATGATATTATGTGATAGTGGTAGGAGGGGACTAGTCCCTAGACCCGGTTGAGATATACCGGCAGGGTAGGTAGGGCACTTAGATATGCCTGACAGTATGATGTGCTATGTTATTATGTGGTAGTGGTAGGAGTGAATAGCCCCTGTAGCCGGTTGAAATAAACCGGAGGGTAGGTCGGGCACCCAGATATGCATGGTAGGGTAGGTCGTGCACCCACATATGCTTGACAATGGGTAGGTTGAGCACCCCGATATGCCTGAAAAGAGTAGGTTCACAGCCCAGATATGCTCAGCAGGGTAGGCCGGACACCGAAATATGCCTGACAGTATGTTTATTGTATGGTATGTAGTATGCTGGGGGAACTCATTAAGCTTTACGCTTACGGTTTTCAGTTTTTGTTTTAGGTCCTTCTTCTTCAAAGGGAAAAGATCCGGCACTGTAGCAGCGCATCACACACATGATTTTCTATATATGAGATTCTTGATGTTGTTTTCTATAAATTGTTAATTCAAAAATGAAATTTTTGGTCTTGAGTTTTGGGATGTTTCAAGCGCCCTTAGGAGCGAGGTCCAAGGGGCGGCAGCCCCTGGCGGGGTCAAGGGGCAGAGTCGTTTTTATGTTAGTTTGTGACAGACAACATGATAGTTTTTGGACAGGAAGTTGTTTTCCTGTAATTACCGTATGACAGTTTTAAGACGGGAAGTTAGTTCATGTTATATGATCAGTTTTGAGATCTTTTTGGGTACAGATTGTCATAGAATCTTCTTCATTCTCCATTCTAGAAACAATGAGTTTTATCTGATTAGAAATTTTCGAGTGTACCCTCGAAATGCTTTAATCTGAAAGTGTTTCACAACTCTCATTGATCCAAATATATCTATACCCTAATTTTCTAACAAATCATAGACATGTTGCAGTCCAATTGTGTGATTGTGAGTTTGAAGTTTCCCTATTTACCTTATAGAATCCAAACAATCCACAAAGAAAGTTTTACGGATATCCAAATTCCAAGTTAGTCATGGAACCCCAAAAGAATAAAATGTTTCATCAAAGTTAGTTGTGGAAATTGTATACATATTCATATTTTTTTTTATTTTACAACATAAAAGAGAAGACTATACATTATTCACATGGATTAATTGGGACAACATAGGAAGAAGGTTTCGTGGCTGCTCTAGGTAAATGTATAATTTGATCTCTCGAACTATTGTCCCTCCTTAAATTAAATTTATAATTCATTTTATAGGATTTTGAAAGTGGTTGTGGTTATTTCAAAGGGGTTGACGATGAAGAAGAATTTAGGCCTTTTAAGAAGCAACTGAACCTCCATCATAGAGAAACTGTAACATTGCTCAAACTGATTGTAGGCCTGCTAGTGGCTATATTGTTATGTCTTATTTTAGTGATTATAAATATGTAATTTATTTGAAATGATAACAAGTTTTCAATGTAGTTTCATCCGTTGTAAGGTTCTACTTTAAGATGTATTGTATTGAATTTGAAGTGATATTGAAGTTTGAATGGTTATCATC